ACAATGTGTTTCCAATGTTTCTTAACATGCTAGCAAATTGGCCTTTCGCGCGCGTGCCGAAATCGGTCGAATGCCCTTGAGCGAGCGCGCGCTGTCGCAAAAATCCTTTGCAACAGATGTGACGACATGTGCGCGCGCGCCGTCGCGCGCGCATGCCGGATTCTGTCAAACATGTGCAAATTCTGTAAGGAGTTCAAAATCCAGTATCTCGAAAACATACAGACACACACGGTTTTGCATCACAAGTTTTCAGCCCATTTCCCCCGCTCATGCAAGTGCTGAAGAACATCAGAACTAGCTTCGCCATTTTCATGCAATTCGGCCAAAGTGGGCTCTCGCGCCGCATGCCGGAATCATCCGAACGCCCTTGCGCGCTGGATGGGGGAACGCGACCCGTGGCGAAAAAGGCCACGCGGGCCACTCGTGCGCGTCGGCCACGCGCGCACGCCGAGCTCCTTCCAGAACGTTCGTCACCGACGCGAGGACGCCGTCATCGCCGTCGGCGTGACCAGCATCGGCGCCGTCGCTGGCCGTGCCGTCGCCGTTGCCCTCGTCGTCACCAGCGTTGTTATTATCAGCATCGTGGTTACCATCGCCGACGTTGCCATGAAACCGCGCCCGCCCAACTTGCCGACCCGCACTGAACTGCCCGCTGGGGAGTGCCCGCGAGACGGCGCCATCGCGTCCGAGTCGACCGCGCCAAACTAGCTGGCCGCTGCGCGCGCGAGCATGTGCGGACTAGCGCGGCCGCACAGATGCATCAGCCAACACCAAACACTCATCGCAATCGCTGCCTCATGTGTTTTTCCAAACAACGTATGGGTGGGAGGGTGGGGTGATCCCGCGAGCACTGGCTTCGACAACTGCGAGCTCTACAAGTCATTCAATTGCACCGCGTAGTCCCCGCCACATGTTGCACCACATATTCTTCCTTTTCCAAAAAGAGTAGAGACCAACCAGAATTAACACTTTCCGTGGGGTAGCACAGTAGGCACCTGACTCTGCAACATCATTCGTGGTAGATGCGAACTCATACCATCCCAGGAAACCCTTTGATCCCCCCCTTTAACCCCTGCCAAATGCTACCGTGCGCGCGCACTGACTTAACAAAACGCTTGAATAACCCAGCTCCCCTTGACAAACGAGGCGAAGCCCACACAGGCGAGTCATCGCGCGCGCATGTCGACATGTCAAAAACCATAGGTGTCGAAAAAATGTCAAGGTCCAGGTTTCCGAAATTTGGCAAAAAATTGTTTCGCCGCATTCTTTTGTTCAATCAAGTATCCTCGCCTTTCAAAGTATTTCGAAAACCGTGGGTGTTCAATTGCGGCCGTCAATTGAGATCACGCGGGCCTCTCGCGCGCGCATGTCGAAATTATTCGAACGCTTTTGCGCGTTTATTGGGGGGGCATGGCACCTGCCAACAAAACCATGCTGGCAGCGCGTGCGCGTTGGCCGCGCGGGATGGTCGAAATCCCGTGAACAGTCTGTTCTCCGACAAGTGGACATCATCGTCAACGGCGTGACCAGCATCGGCGCCGTCATTGGCCTTGCCGTCGTTATCGCCATCATCGCCACTATCATCGCTACTACCATTATCGTGTCCGCCGCTGTCGACGTCACCGTGAGTCCGAGCCCGCCCGAAGCACCGACCCGCACTGAAACACCCGCCCGCCAGTGTTGTTCGTGAAACGCGCTGGGATGTTCCCAGCGGTCAGCCCCACCGCGGCCGCGTCGACTGTTCCAAACTAGCTGGCCGCTCTGCGCGCGAGTTGATGGGCGCTATCGCTGCCGCAGACATGCGCCAGCCAGCGTCAAACAATCACCGATATTATCGCTGCAAGCAACTTGCGTGTGGGTGGGTGGGAATGTTGCGGGAGCAGTGGGGTTGACATTTTCATTGCACCACGTAGAGTGCACAATCAAATTCGCTGGAACACACCGTTCTGGGTCCATGCTGGCTAACATTGCGTTGGCTTCCTCAAAACAGTGTTTAGAGTTTGATGTTTCCCCCACGTGGCGCTTGCATGAAAGGGTTGTTTTATTTGTCCTCCAAATATGTAGCTGGGTGTTATGGGTTCTCCGCCGTCTTGGCGACAGTGACCGCATCGTACGCTGGTATTTCGGCGTTCCGCGAACACTGGTTGGCGCTTTGGATTACTTACTCAAATTTGCGCCCCCCCCACGGTCCCCGGAAGCAACGCAACAATGGCCATTCTTGTCCAGAGTTATTCTTGCTTGCGTGCTGCTGACCGTTCTTATAGTTGACCCATATAGATTTCACAACCCATGTTTTTTGTTTCTGGAGAAGAAGACGGTCGACCTTCCCCCATCGGATGCCGGGGTCACCACTGCCCATCCGCGCATTGTTTCGGACGATGTTGTGCACCATGAGGTTGCGCATCGATTTGTGCTCTTGATGTTTGGTTTGTTGCACGATGCTCCAAGGAGGGCGGGGGAGATAATAGGTTTGGTTCCTTTCTCCCCCTTCCCCTCCTCCCTCTTCCGTCTCGACCCCGTGATACAAAAAAAGGAATTGGAGGGGGAGGGGGGGGGGAAGTAATACGTCACCCTCTCTTTCTCCGCCCCCCCTGTCTCCGCCCACTTTGCCAGCAACGCGCACGCACCACAACGACATCAGTCTTGGCCGACAATTGTCACGGGTCGCTCCGCCGCAGCGCCCCATGGCACCAGGAAGTTTTGGATACCACGTGACGCGGCCAGCCTGGGCGAGAGTCGTGCGCTTATGGCCGCATGTTCTTCCAGCCTTTGGCCCTCGATGGCAGGGTACGCCGGTCCCTCTCATGTGTACCCAGCGCGTGGCCTCCGTTCGTTCAAACATGGTGCCATCCAAGTCATGTTTGTCTCCAGTTTGCTGGCGTATGCTCGTTGGCATAATTGCGTCAACGTCCTTGCCATCCTTCCCTTTGCACCCATCGTCAAGATCCCCCCCCCCTTCTGCAACAAAGGTCTATGGAGGTTGCCGGAGCGGCCCAAAAAATCTTAAGGACCCAATCAGTGTTCCTTCTTTTCTTCCCTCCCCCTCCGCCCCCTCACTCGATCCTCCTCTCAACACCTTCCTCGGGCCCGATGTTCATCACAAATATGTTTGACGAGCCAGGTGCCCGAAGCGAGCTTCCAGAGTCCGAAATTCAAGAGTACACGCCAGCACCGAACAATGTAATTTACCAATCGTCTGGGCGCCTCTCCCCAAAACCGAATCCCAGACCTCTTCTGGAACACGCTTCGACCAGAGTCTCAAAGAGAATATTGCCGTGGCGACGAGAAGCTTCCCAGAGGCCCGAGAAGGTAAAGTCGGGTTGAAGCACGTCGAACCTCCATCCTCTCCACACCCCCGAAAGTTGAAGTGTCTAGTGCGCGGGCCCTGCACCCCTTCCCGCAGACCGGTTTTTCTGCCTGACGGCCCCAGGGGGCCGAGCCGAGTCCCCCCCCCCCCCCCGAAAGTCGAACAGCGAAAACAGTTCGCCTTCATGGTTTGAAGCCTCGGGGGTATGGGCCCTCATCCCCCTTCTCACGAGCCCATGTCTCTACAGCTGGAGGTACTCCACGGGATTTTCCGTCAGAGCTGCTGTGCCGGTTAGAGTGCCCCCAGGGCGGAGCGACGTTCTCGCCTGTTGGGTAATTAGGCGGCAAGTGCTCAGCCAAGGCTCTAACGGCTTGTAGAAAGAGCGGCTGGCAGAAAAGGCCGATTCGAAGTTATCGCAGTAGTGTTTCCGCGTCGCCATGTGGCGCGACGGGCAGGAAGTGGCGCGGTGGCCCAGTACGCAGCGGCTCCCTGGGGGATGATGCCAGAATTGGGTTCTCCTGGCATGCTCGTGGGCGTCGTCATCATAGGGGATCTTCCAACGTCCCCTGTCCTTGCGGGAGAATTCTGCGTTTTGGTTCCCAACTATCCTGTGGTGTTGGGTCCGCGTTTTGAAGAGACGCGCCCTGCGATCATCCCTTCCTTCCGCTCCTCCTCCTCCTCCTCCTCCTCCTCCTCCTCCTCCTCCTCCTCCTCCTCCTCCTTCGCCTCCTCCCACTCCTCCCATTCCTGCCTCTGCCCTCCGCATGTGAGCCATTTCGGCACCCCCTTTACTGGGTTCGTAGCCCCATTTGGAGCTCCACGCAAGGGCCCAGTGGCAGGGTCTGCATGCGCCCGGCGCCCATTTTCGCACACCCCTCACACGGCTCGTGTTCCCATAGGGAGCCCCTCCGAGGGCCCATGCGCCCAACTCCCATTTCGGCACACCCCTCACACTGTTCGTGTCCCCATTGGGAGCTCCACCGAGGACCCCAGTGACAGGGTCGGCAGGCTCCGCGTGTTGCCGACGCCCATTTCGGCAAACCTCTCACACGGTTCGTGGCCCCATAGCGAGCTCCACCGAGGGCCCCAGCGACAGGGTCCGCATGCGCCCGACGCCCATTTCGGCACACCACTCACACGGTTCGTGGCCCCATAGGGAGCTTCACCCACGGCCCCAGTGGCAGGGTCCGCGTGTGCCCGACGCCCATTTCGGCACACCTCTCACACGGTGGCCCCCTAGGGAGCTCCACCGAAAGTGGCGTCCACAAAGCGGTATTCAGGACAGCGTATGGTTTGAGTTCTTTGAGATGTGACGATGCGTCGCGAAACATCACGATTGGAGCCATAAACCCCATCTGGTTGCGTCGATTTTTTCCGAGCCAGATCGATCTGTGAGGACCCCAGGGCTCGAGACCAGGCGAAAACGCCTGTTGTGTTGAAAATGCACGCCAGGATTGCAGTGTCGTCACCCTCCAGCACCGATCGTATCCTCTTTCTCCTCCTCGTTCTCCCCCTCCTCCCAATCCTTCCTTAGCGGTGGCCTCCTCCAGATCGTCCCAAGCACGACGACTCCCCCAGCCAGCGCGGCGTTGCTCGCCGCCTCTCTGCCACGCGCCGTCCGGCGTAGGCAGCCATAGCCCTATTCAGTGGTACGGGAGATTCTACTCTGCCGCGCCGCGCGCGGGGTGACGAGGTCGGGCATCTCCACGACCGCGTCGGGCACCTCCGGGGCTAACCTCGAGCAGCAGTCCGCGGGACCGGCGGCGATGGCGGGGAGGGGCCCAGTGAGCGGGCGCATTCCTCAAGCCAGTGTCGAAGCATCCTGACTCGTCGGTCGTCATCGTCGCCGTCGAAGGTCTTTGTCGTCGTCGGGATCGAAGTCGAAGTCGCAGCTCGGCATCGTCGCCGCCGCTCGGCTCGCTGCCGCCGCCGCCGCTCGCCGGGGGGTCCCGCGGGCCGAGACCGGCAGGGGGGGCCGGGGGGGAGTGGCGCCGAGATCGTGCATGGGCGGCTAACATGCATGGGGGCGTTCCAAGAGGGCCTCGCAGTCGAGGATGGCAGGAGCTGCCATCTCGTCCGAGGCGGAATGTGGCGGAAGGGCGGCGGAAGGTCTGCGGAAGTAAAGCGAGGCCGCCTCCGCCGGCGGAAAGTCTCGGAAGGGCGGCGCAAGGTGGCGGAAGGGAAAAGTGCGCCCCAGAGATGGAAACGTCTTTGGGTTCAGGGATTCCGAACTCCGCCACATATCTGTATCCGCGGCCTCGCAGTCTAGGCCCCTGGGCCGCGACCCCGCGGATGCGGGGCGATGTTTGGCGGACGGCCCGCGAGGAACGTATCTGCGCGACGGCGTATCCGCGGGATCGCGCCCCCGGAATCCAGACCGCGAGGGCGCGGATACGGACATGTGCGCCGCTCGTGGCACTGTCAAACAAAAAAGCAAGACCCTCATGTGGCTTTCACGAAATGGCCTTGGAACCGATCTGGCTCGAACAGTCTTGTTTTTTTATCAAGTGTCGTTATGTTCAAGGGGCATTCTTAGAGCAATCGCAGCGTTCTTTCGTTCCAAGAATGTTGTAGGCCTATAGGACTGCCTGGACGGCAGATCCCTGCTCAAATTCGAGATGATCGATGTTCCTGGGGATCCAGGTTCGTTGACTCCCTTCCAAACTGTTGTTTTGAAGCTTTTCACTTTCAGGCCTGTGTAATCGATCCTGGATTGGCAAATCTGGGCAGGATGGACCAGACAGGCTTAGGATGAGGATGAAGCGTTCGAGAGCGTTCCGTGACGCTCTCGGGGCGTTCCTGAATTCTGGGACGGCCGCGGCGCCCGATACATCCTCCAGAGCTGCCGGGTCTCGGAGATTCTCGATGCATCCTCGTCCGACTTTGTAGTTATCCTACCCTCGTCTCAAGGGGGCCCTAGTCAGAGCCCCGAGTCATCAGGGGTAACTCGGGTCAGGGATAACTCGGGTTCCTTTTTCGGGAACCCGAACCCGAGTTACCCCGGACCCGAGTTACCCCGGATAACTCGGGCGTCCAGAGCCCCGAATCATCAGGGATAACTCGGGTCAGGGATAACTCGGGTTCGTTTTTCGGGAACCCAAACCCGAGTTACCCCGGACCCGAGCTATCCCGGATAACTCGGGCGCCCAACCTAGGAGGGGTCTGGGAAACCGTTTTCGAGTGAGGATCGAAGATCACGTCTCCGGGGAGGCCATTCGTCGCCGCGGCTGGAAGGGGCCCCTCGTCCAAACGCAGTTCGGCGCCTGCCAGTCAGGCTTCTCGACGTTGCGATCGCGCAGCGGGATCGGCCGAGGTGCCGTGCGTGCGTCGAGGCGACACCCTGCACGGGACGATATCGTGCGAGGGGTGCGCTTCCGGCTGGCTCGAACCACTGCGATTTCCGGCCCCTAGAGACCAGGATACGGATAAACCATGACACGGAAAACGAAGGAAACGACATCTTTCTTTGCATCGTCACATGTTTCAGCACCCGAGCAGATTTTGTTTGCTGCGCTGCAGGATGCGGGTTTGTGTCCGGATTTGGGGGATGTTGCTGGCTTTTCGGGCTTGTGTCCAGGTTTCTTTTGGAGATGCTGCAGTGCAGTATGTTGTTCGTGCCGCCGTCTGGAACTTCCACAATTAGTTTCGAGGGATGTTGGGTGTCTGGGTCTAGAGTGTTACGTGGCGTGAGTGGCGTTGTTTTGCACGCCATGCGCGCCACGCATGCGTGGCCCGATGCTCGCGTGGCGTTGCTGTGCAACGTGGCGCATTCGACCCCGTGCGATGTCAACAACGTGCCGGCGCAGGCCGATCCGACACATGCCGCGGTCTTGACCTTCCGATGGGATGCTGACCGATCCCGGCGTGGCTGGGGCAGGGCACACGGGTGCTAGGATGGGACCCCCAGATCTGGACGACGCAACAGAACCCGCGACGGCCCGTTTTTGTTGCTGTCGTGGTCTTTCTGTCTGGAGACTGGGAGACGCTTCGCGGCCCTCCGCTGGGAAACGCGGCCCACCCTAGAGATGTCTGCCTCGGCGGCGATGCGCCCGATCTCGAGGTCTCAGCGCGATGCGTCGAGCAACAACGCGGCAATGACCCCTTGCCGCGGGCTTTCTTGAGGCCACGGCGTCTACGCAATGCCCTAAAAGGCACGGGCGGGCTCACTAGCGGAGCGCGAACGACTCTGGCCTTCGTTCGTTCTCGGTTCGAGAGCGGATTCGAAAATGCAGAACATCGCGGTCGCTCGGGGGTTCGCCGGCTCGGGGGACAGTCAAAAGCCACGCGGGGGGCGTTCGAGACCCAGGGGAGCCCACGCCGCGATATAGCAGTGAAGTGCCCGCGGAGGGCCGATGTCCCCGAGGTCCACCCGCAGTCTTGCTGGCCCCCGCTGCCAGCAGCGGGCTCTGTGCCACCCAGGTCGGGACGATGGAAATGGGTACACATTGTCCATTTCCAATTATTCGAAAATGCTTTGATTTTTTGGGGGGGCTCAGACCCTCTCATTTCTGATTGTTCTCTTCTGGGCCTCTTCCTGGCCACTAGGGGGCCAGGAACAAGTAGAAACGAGCACGAGCAGAAATGAGCACGATTGGAAATGAACGGCGCGTACGGAAAGCATTCGCACGAAGACCGACAGCATGTCGTGCCCATGCTGGACAGGGCTCGCCGTCGGTGTCGCTGCGGGGTGTGTGCCCATGTTTGAGACGAGAGGCCGCCTGCCCAGAGGAGCAGCCGCCGCCGGTCTTGGACGACACCGTGTTGCTGGGCGTCGTGCCCACTTGCCTCGTTCCGATTGCGGGCGTCCAAAGCAGACCTCCGCCGTCGTGGCTTGTGCATAACATGGTGGAGGACGATCAATGGAGAGGAAGCGTGTTGCCAAATACGTTTAAGATGTCTGAAACATGTGATAAGCATATTGTCAAGATGTAAAACACATGTTCGAAACATGTTTCGGACATTTCTCCGACATTTTAAGCACATTTGTAAATTCAACGATACGACTGGTAGGATGTCCATCGTCATGGCATCCACAATCTTATGGCAGGCGTCCAAAGCAGACCTCCGCCGTCGTGGCTTGTTCCTAACGGCGTTGGTCCTCTGGAAGCCTGGGCCTTTGCCCCGGGCATGGTCACACGCACCGCTTCGCGTTCGTGCCGTCTTGTACCTGGCAGCGCCTTGGTCGGTGGTTCCTCGTCTCGAGTTTGGCTCCGTTCAGGGTTGTTTACTTCCGCGCTGTGCCCGCGTTCCTGCACACGTGCAAGGACTCCACGTTCTAAGCGTGCTCCCCTCTTCTTCCGCGCCCCTCCTCCCCCCCGCAACCTGTTGCGCCCAATTCGGCCACGTGCGCTCCACGTCTGCGTTCGGACGCGGCAAAATTCCCGTCGTTGCGAGTACAGCAATTTTGTATGCGTAGTTGTTTGGCGGTGCCATCAGGCCCCGTCTGTGCCCCAGAAGCGGCTAACAAATGCCCGTTGCGATGTCTCCTCACGACGGGGAACGGCAGGGGCAGGCGGATGATTTCTTCACGGCGGTATTAGATATCAGTGGCATGGAAAAGTGTGCCGCCAGATTTGCAGCCCGAAAAAATGGACGACCCGATCAGCTCATCTTTTGCTGAAGAAATCGCTCTGGAAAGCGCAAGCTTGGCAATGCCACGGTGGTGCGAGTGAGTGCGAGTCCCGGCAATCACGTGTGTTGTGCAATGGAGCTTTGGAGACAGTTTTGTAGAGGTTTACCCTTCTCGAGTGGGAAGAGTGATGCCGCGGCGCTGCGGCTGAGTGCGCCATGTCGCGGGCGGACGCCTGTCCTGCAGATGGCGACGCCGCCGGGACGAGCTGCTCGTGGAGGGCCCTTCTCCGCTGGCTTTCCGCTCTGCGCGAGAGCTATGGCGCGGAGCTGCTGGTGACCATCTTCTGCTCGCACCACCTGCTGAAGGGCTTCGTGGGCGGGGGCGGCATGAGCTCCGCAGGGGGGCACCTGCGCACAGCCACCGTGGCCGGCCAGGGCCTGGCCATCCTTTCCAGGCCTCCCATATGAGATCCGGGCACCGGCGGGGGCCAGGCGATTCGCGCAGCATCGCCGATGCGTCGGCGATACGGTGCGACGTCGATCCCGAGTTTGTCCACGTCGACGGCACAGATGCATCGGCGAAGTCGGCGCGAGCATCCGACCCCATCTGCTCGGACCCCATGTGGGAGGCCTCCGATCCAGGGCACCAGGATTCAGGAGCGCCAGATGTGCGTACGCGTGCAGGAACGCGCGTGGCTCTCGAGCGAGAGCGCGCACTGCGCGAGGGCTCTCGAAACACGGGTGACGTCACACTAACCTTAAGTCGGGCTTGTTCTTCTACAGGAGGAATATTGAAAATAATTCAAAATAGTCGGGGGACGATGTTTTAAGTATGTTTTGCATATGTTTGAATATATTTGGACTACTTTGAATTTTTTCCTCGAAAATCCCCCTGTAGGGGGACAGGCCCGACTTAACACTAACAGGGTGGACATCTTCACGCACGTGGTTGGGCGCCTGCGTCCTATACTTTGGGCTCCCTACAATAGACCCTCCTGGCCTCGGCCAGCAGGGTCTGTGCACCACCCTGGGTGCCCAGGATGGCCCCAGCCAGGGGTTCGCTCAGGAATCGTGGCTTCGCTTGAAGTCAGGCGTGTCCCTCTACAGGAGGAATATTCACACACAGTCAGCAATCATCTAGTGACGATCGTGTTGCGAATTCTGCGCAGTTTTGATGGTTGTTGATTACTTCCAGCTGTTCCTCCAGAATCCGCCTGCAGGAGGACATGCCCGACCTAATAGCTTACGGTAGGTTCGCGTCGTGTCGACCAGCGGCGACCCCAGCGCGGGCGTTCAAGGTTGAACGCCGACGGCGGCCCAGAATCGGTCGATGTTGAACGATCGGACGTTGCGGCAGCGGCCGATCGTTCAAGGTTGAACGATCCCCGCGGTGTCAAAAACCAACGCTGGGGTCGGCACGACACGAACCTGCCGTAGTTTGTCGCTCCGCCGATTGTGGCCCACCACGCTGCGGCGCGACACGCTGCCCGTGGCCCAGCCCCCTTGGCGTCAGCGTTCCGAGCCTCTCCGAGGCCTCCCGCGCGCCGCCGCTTCTCGAGGCCAGCGTGTCGCCGGGGGCGCTGCCGCGACGCGCCGAGCGAAAGCTCCCGACCGCAGTGTTCACCACCCACCAAACCACCCCAACCCAACCCGAAGGCTCAGATTTGCCCTCAATTTCCAGTGGGGGGGGGGGTCGGGAAACATCGAAAAAATACATTTGGAACCCTTACCCCCCCCAACCCGAAATTCGGGTCTTCGGGTTGGGTTGGGGTGGTCTGGTATGTAGTCAAGTGTAGTGCTGGGGTGTGGCCACCTGCGGATGAGCGGCCTGGTGGGCAGCGCGATGGACTTCAGCTACCGGAGTCTCGGGGCCACCGGGCCCGAGCTGCAGGCGTCGGGCGAACTGCAACGGGGGTCAACAGAATCGTCGAGGATTGCAGGGGAGTGGAGCCACAGGGGCCCTAAAGTTGCCACCGCGTCCAAAAGGCACACGAAAGGCACACGCGCTTCTGCACCCCAAGTTTATTGCCCCCCCGTTGACGAACACCCGAAGGTGTACAGCTCCTGCGCGCTGCTGCCCTGGTCCATGAAGTCCCTGATGGGACTGATGTCCGACGGGCTTCCCTTGCTGGGGTACCGCAAGGCTCGGGTCGGCCGTTCGAGGTTTCAGGCTTGAGTTGTTTTCAGGCGTTGTCAGCGCATCTCGGTGGTTTTCCCAGCCTCGGGCTGCTCTCCAGCAGCTGCGCCTCGCCGAGGGCGTGCGGGGGGTGCCTGGCTTGTTCCGAAGGTCCGCCGAAGCCACGAGTACACAATTCCTTGGCCGGAAGTCAAACGAAGACGATTACTCGGGCCGAACGACAGGAGAGGACCAGAGCTCAGGAGCGACAGAAGGACGTGCACGTACATGAATCCACGCTGGTTTCGAGAGTACGCATTGCGCAAATGTTCGCATAACGCTGCCGGTCTCGCGGATCGAGGGGCCATGTTCATGTACATAGCTGGGCGCGTACGTCCTTTGTGGGCTCCCTAAGAGCGAGTGGATACGAGGTCTGCTGCCTGCAGCTGGTTTCGCCCCGACCGCGGGCCGCTTCCCACAATAGACACGAGCACCGCCAGCGTTGGCCGGAAGACGCCGAGCTGATTCGCGGACCCCCCTGTTCAGGAACAGCCTTAGGGGGGGGGGATGGGCTGAGTGGGGGAGCTCCTCCTCCTCCCTCTCCTCCTCCTCCCTCCTCCCTCTCCTCCTCCTCCTCCTCCTCCTCCTCCTCCTCCTCCTCCTCCTCCTCCTCCTGCTCCTGCTCTTCCTCCTCCTCCTCCTCCTCCTCCTCCTCCCTCCTTCTCCTCCTGATGCAGCGACCCCGAATCGCCCATGGATCGTCGATAGGGACCCAACAGCCTGCAGCGCCCGCGAACGTGTGCTGTCGCTATCGGGGGCCTCTCACCGATCCATCGGCGAAGTGCCGTCGGCTCCAGTTTGGTGTTTTCTCCCCCCTCTGAGCCGGTGCCCTCCTAACGCTTCCCTTCGGCTTTTCTTCAGTCCTAGTTGTTGCTTAAAACCGCCATGGCCCAGGGTGACCCCAGCTTTCCCAGGGAGGCGCAGATGACTTCCAGAGCACCCCTCACGAGGCCTAGACTCGACCAGAGCCCCAAGAATGATGCGAAAAGCTGGGAGCACATTTTTCCAGGACGACTTTCAATGACTTTCAGCAACGTCCGAGATTCGCTAACCCCCCTTTGCGTGGGCTCTCCACGAGCTGTCGCGTTTTGCAATCCTGATCGTGATGCAAGTCGGCACTGTACAGTTGATGATCGCAGGCCAGCCATCCAACCTTGCAACACCGTGCAATCACCTCGAAGAGGTATTATGTGACTCTTGCGCTGTCGTTTCATGTCCAAGGTTATTCGCGATTGCTTGCAGAGGATTAGCCGACGATACATCGCCGATCTACCGGCGATGTATCGCTGATTTCAGGTCGACGTCTTCCCCCCCGAGCCAGTCCCCCCCTATCGTTGCCCCACTGGGGCGAAGAAGAGAGCAAAAGGCGGATGAGGAGGAGGAGGAGGACGAGGAGGAGGAGGACGGGGAGGAGGAGGATGAGGAGGAGCAGGAGGAGCAGGAGAAGCAGGATGAGCAGGATGAGCAGGAGGAGGATGGGGAGGAGGTCGTCGTGGTCGTTGTTTGGGGCCTCGTCATCGAAAGCCTTCTCGTCGTCGTTGTTGTTGTTAGAGGAGGAGGAGGAGGAGGAGGAGGAGGAGGAGGTTGAGGGGCCCTGGCATCCCCCCCAGGAAAGTTTCCCCTCACAGCTGCCATCCCCACCTGATGAGGAGGGCTCCAAAATCGATATCTGCACCTCTCCTGGGGTGCGTTCGACTCAGAATCTTCAGGCGGATCCAGCCGTTGCCACGAGGGCGCCCCAGGACGGTCACAAAAGCGTGCCGGCAACGAGCCTCGAACCCCGACCTCCGAACCCCTCACCTCTGCCCCCCCCCCTCGCCCGGCCCACGAGGCCTCCTACCTGCTCGCCTCCGGCGTCCTGGCGGCCTGCGCCTACGTCCTGCTCGCCTCGCTGGACGGCGCGGGGCCGCCGCCGTCGCTGCCGGTGCTCACGGGCCTGCTCTTCGCGGCCTTCTTCCAGATGGCGCTGGCCGACCTCCTCGTCGAGGGGAAGTACTCGGAGAAGGCGATGGGGCCGACAGGGCCGTGTGCGGAGAAGGAAGCACGGCAGAAGCACGACCTTTTGGATCTTCGCGTGCACTTTCTTCGGATCGGCGCTGGGGCCGCCCCGCGGCGCCTGCGGCGCCGCCCCAGGCGTGCTGCGCGCGCGCCACGGGGGGGGGGCTCAGCGCTGATCCAAGAAATCCCAGTGGACTTATTGAAGTTTATGTTTGCGGAAGTCGATTTATGGAGAGGGAGCATGCTGCCAAATAGTTATCATAATGTCTAGAAGATGTTTCAACTATAATTCAAACATGTACAAAACATGTCTAAAACATGTTTAGAGTGTGTTTTACATATTTTAAACATATCTTCAATTCAATGACAGGATTGTTAGAGTGTCCGTTGTCATGGCATCCACAAGTTTATGTTTATGATCTTTGCTGTTCTGGTAAGTTCGCCATGAAACAGTCGATTCTGGAGGGAAGCGCGCCCGACGGCTTTCTGCCGAGTTCGGATTCTCGGAGCCCTCCCGGGGCCCATTGGCCGTCTAAAAACAGCTCAGGTGAAGAGCTGGTCCTTGGGGGGGGGCCCTGGGGTCCAGGACCAGTTTCCCTCAGGACCCGCTTGTTTCATGCCAAACTACGCGCGCACAAACCCCCACACACACAGACACAGACACACAAACACACATAGAGAGACACACACACACACATACACACACACACACCTGCGAGGTCCATCCTTGGCCCAGGATCAGTGTATATGGCTCTCTGCTTACGCACGTCAAACGGACGTGTGCACCGATCCTGGGCCCACGATGGGCCCGGCCAGGATTAGTGTGTGTGTGTGTGTAAGTGTGTGCATCTCCATTTCTTTTTCAGGTGAAGGCGATGCCCGCCCGCGGCCCCGACCTGATCACCTTCGTCTGGGGCGGCATGGCGGCAGGGGGGCTTGCCGCATCGACGGTCTCCGGCGTGCTGATCGGCTGGTTTGGTCCTCGACAAAAAAGATGCGTACAAATGCGCTTCTGAACGCTTGTGTACCGTGCCGCGCCACCAATTCGAGCCCACTGCGCTTCAGCACGACAAGCATCTGCGTTCCGAGTTCTTCCAAGCTTCCCGTCCCGCGAAGCAGAGCGAGACGCAAGTAGCTGACAGGGAATAATGTGCCGCAGAGGCAGCCGCCACGACACCCTAAGCAAAGTCGCCTGAGAGCAATCTGTCGGAGGTCCGCGCGGATCTCTTGGGTCGCGCTGAGCGTCACCCCATCTGCGGCGCCTTCGTTGCCGTGCCCCTGGCGCGCTCCGCCCCCAGGAAGGGGTGTCCGGCGCCGACACGAGAAGTCCGCGCGGATCTCCAGCAGTGATCTTTGTCGGCCCGTGCGAGGGGGGGAAATGAGAAGGAGAAGGCCTTCTCAGAAGGCGGCGGGGCTTCTCAGAAGCCCTCGCGCCTTCTGAGAAGTTGCTGATGTCTTCGGGGAAGGCTTCGAACACTTCTCGGAAGGCCGGGGGACTTCCGAGCTTTCTGAGAAGGCCTTCTCCTTCTCATTCCCCCCCTTCGCTCGCCGCCTGCTTTCATGCAGCTGTTCCTTCCTGCAGGTCCGGCCGCCTGCTATCTCATGGCGGCGCCCTTTGCGGGGGCCATCATGTGGCCGGCGTCCAGGAACTACCTGGAGGAGCGCAGGGGCCCAGGCTGTTGCAGGCCCGACCTGGCCAAGTGGCGCGGGAAGGGTTTGGTTCCGTTCCTCTTGGCTTTCGTCATGGGGGCAGCTGGGGTGTGCTTGGCTTTCGTCTCCGTCTACGCGTCCTCGCTGAGGCAGAAATTCTTGGCGGCGGTGTTCGTTGGTCTTCTCAATTTGCTCTTGTTTTCCACGTTTCTGCGCCCCTCGATTGCCAGGATAAATGCTTTCTTCTTCCTGCAGAACGTATTCCACGTTGGCACGCACGGTGCGAGCTTTTATTTAAGAGGTTCACGCACTTTTGCCGACGCCCAAAGGAGGAGAGAACTCACGGGGCAACCCAACGAAGTGTCGCCACTTTGGTATGGTGGTGTCCAGCGGAGTGACGGTCTTCGCATACACACTCGAGACTTCGCTTCCCTCTTCCCATCATGTGGCATCCTCGGGGCCTCTTGGGGACCATCATGGAGGCTTCCTGGGGGCATCTTGGGGGCGTCTTCGGTGCCTGTCGGGGCCTTTTGGTGACTCCTTGGCGCTGTTGGGCCACCTGGCGACGTCGGAGTCAGTCTTGGGGTCCCCTCTGGACCGTCTTTGGGCCCTCTTGTGGCCCGCTGGGACCGTCGAGAGGGTCGACAGCCAGTGCCGCCGACCCTGAAGGGGGATGACGACCACGACGGCGGCGTCGGCGGCGACGGCGACGCTGTCGTGGGGCAGAGTCCTCAGTGATGCTTTTGGGGGCATCTTCGAAGCGCGCTCGTAGGCCTCTGGGGGGCAGGTTTGGGGCATCTTGGGAGTATCTTGGGCGACTCTTGGGAGTGGGTGTCCCTTCGAGCTTCCTAGGGGCCTCTTGGGGGCCTCGTGGGATCCTCTGGGGGGCCTTTGAGGTCTCCTGGGAGCTTCTCGGGGTCGAGGGCTCGAAATGTTCTTTCGGGCTACCTTGTGGGTCTTGGGCCGCCCTGGAGGCTTCGAGGGCCGTCTGGGGACTCTCTTGGGTCGGTTTGGGGCCGCCTTGGAAACCTCTTGGTGGCTCCTTGTGCCGATCTTGGTGGAGTCTTGGGCCGTCTTGGAAGCCGAAATGGCGAGAACGCCAGAATCGCTCAAAAGCCAACAACAAATCAGTGAGATTGCCTGTTGGGGCCCTCTTTTGTGCTCTTGGAGGCCTCTCAGAACGTCTTGGCAGCCGCTTGGGCTGTCAGGAGGATGGCGTCTTGGACCGATTGTTCGGCGGTTCGGGGCCCTCTTGGACGGTCTTTGGGGCCTCTTGGTGGGCTGTCTGGGTGCCTGTGGGGCCCCAGGACCCCTCAGGGAAGGATGACAGTCTGACCCAGGAACCCAGCTGGGCCCCTCCTGGGGCCCCTCCCGGACCTCCCCTTCCCGGGGGGAAGGGATCAAAGGTAAGGGGGGCTTCCCTTCGAATCAATTGCGACCTTGCTCAATTTTTCGCTTTGGTTTCGCTTTGGCTGGCTCGCTTTCTTGAGGAGGAGGGCCAAGTGAAAAGGGGGGGGGAGGCGGCGACGGGCCCAGGGAGAGGGGGGTCCAACGCGACGGTGACGACGACGACGACGACGACGACGCCGAGTCAAGCAGAACAGCGTCTTCCACGAGCCGACAGGGTCGGCGGATACTTGGAGGCCTCTTACATCGCCTCGGGCTGACTGAAGCATATGTCATTCAGGCTTCTCTGGGGCCTCCTGGCGGTTGTGTTGGATCGCGACTGGGCCGCATTGGGGGCCTCTTGGGCCGATTGGACGCCAATTTGGGTTGCCGTGCGGCCTCGCGGGCATCCCTGGCATCCTGAGTCGTCCCGGGGTGCTTCCGGGGGGCTGGGCTCGGAGCCCCCGGGGCTGGGGGCCCCCGGAGCGCGCTGGGAGAAGCCGCCGCCTCCCCGCCCGCCCGCGCCGAGGAGATCGAGCCCCCCCCCTCCCCGCCCCTCCCCGCGCCCTGCCTGCCCTCCTCCTCCTCCTCCTCCTCCTCCTCCTCCTCCTTCTCCTCCTCCTCCTCCTCCTCCTCCTCCTCCTCCTCCTCCTCCTCCTCCTCCTCCTCCTCCTCCTCCCTGCACTCAGGGAGTCTTCCTTCCCTGGCCAAGGGATGGGCCAAGCGAGGGCGTTCCAAGACGAGTCTGCGCGTGCTGCACCGCATAGCTCAGAGCGTGCAGCCTGTACCGCGCAGCTCACGCATCTCCGGGGCAAAAGAGATCTTGCTCCCTGGGGTCCACGCTGGCTAGCGTGAACTTCTGGGAAGGGGGAGTCGGCGGCGAGCGAGGGGGGGAAATGAGAAGGAGAAGGCCTTCTCAGAAGGCGGCGGGACTTCTCAGAAGCCCTCGCGCCTTCTCAGAAGTTTTCTGCGTCTTCGGGGAAGGCTTCGAACACTTCTCGGAAGGCCGGGGGACCTCCGAGCCTTCTGAGAAGGCCTGCCCCTTCTCAATCCCCCCCCGCGCTCGCCGCCAAGGGAAGGGGGAGGGGACGGCAGTCTCACACGCCCGCTTGCCCCCCCCCCCTAGCAGGCGGGGGTCGGGGGGATTTCTTCACCGACACCGCGGCGCAGTTCCCGGGCGGCCCGCACCTGTCCGCGTTCTTCTACGTGACGGTGATCGGGACCGTGGGGTCCCTCTTCAATCTGCTCGGCATGCTCTGCTACAACTGGTTCCTGAAGCAGTGGAGATATCGGTCTGTGCTGGTGATGGGGAGCCTCACCCACAGCGTTGTCCAGTGTGTGAGCGCCATCGTATACCTGCGGTGGAACTTGGAGGTGTCCATCCCCGATCCTCTGTTCATGGTCGCTTCCAGCGCCACCCAGCATGCGATCTCGCAGCTGAGCTGGATGCCCATGACCGTTATGCTCGCCCAGCTTGTGCCGGAAGGCCTCGAGTCCACCCTATAGTCGGCTGCGCGTAAGAGTGGCCCCTCTCAGAAGCGACTTTGGCGCGGGGGGGGCCTCAGGGGTCCCCCGATCACCGACCGACTTGCGCGCTCGGGTCTGCCCCCTCCTCCTCCTCTTCCTCCTCCTCCTCCTCCTCCTCCTCCTCCTCCTCCTCCTCCTCCTCAGGGAGGCCGCTAGAGAAGTCACTGACGTCCGCCAGTGGACGTTCGCTCCTCCTCCTCCTCCTCCTCCGCCCCCCCCCTCCCTTCCCTGCGCCCCCCGACAGTCGCGCACCAGAGGTCACTCTTTGCAGACCCTCTCCGCAGACGCAGCATGTCTTGAGGAGGCCTTACGGGCCGGTGCCGCCGACCCTGAAAGGCTGACGCTGACAGTCTCGCCTCGCGCCTCGCGGTTTTGGCGCCTCGCTGACACACCTCATATTCAGCTACCGTCGTCAAAACGCCCGCCACAAGGACGAGGGCGGCGGCGGCGGCGATGACGATGGAGACGTGGGTGAGGGTCCAGAGGGATTCTGCGTGGGGTGTCCGGAGCGCGCTGTCGGGAACGTTTGGGGGGCAGGTTTGGAGCCTTTCGGGGGCCCTTTGGGGGCCTCTCGAGAGCCTCTTGAGGGCCTCTTGGGCCTTCCTGGGGGCCCCTTGCGGCTTCCTAGGGGCCTCTTGGGGGCTTCTTGGGGCCTCCTGGGAGCGTCTCGAGGCCAAGGGCTCGACATGCTCGTGCAGGTCTCCCGTCTGGGCACCCTCTCGAAGCCGTCTTGGGAGCCTCATGGGCCGTCCTGGAGGCCTCTTGGGCCGACCCTGTTGGGTCGCTTTGGAGCCTTCTGGAGGACCTTTTGGGGGCATCTGGCGGCGAGTTTGGGGGCATCTGGGGCCGTCTTGTCAGGAATCCGAAGAGGGAAGACCGCGACAATCGGTCAAACACCTAAGACACATGACTGAATGTTGTCTGTTGGGGCCATCTTGGTGTGCTCTTGGAGGCCATTTCGAGCGTCATGGCAGTCTCTTGGGCTGTCAGGAGGCTATGCTTGGCGTCTTTGGTCGATCGTTCGGCGATTCGGGGCCCTCTTGGACCGTCTTGGAGGCCTCTTGGGGCAGTCTTAGGCCGTCTTGAGGCAGTCTTAGGCCCGGGACCCCCTAGGGGGGATAGTATCTTGACCTGGGACCCTCCTTCGCTACCCCCCCCCCTTGCTACCCCCCGGGAGCCCGCCCTGGCGGGAAAGCGATCAAAGGGAAAGGGCGGCTTCCCTTCGACTCAATTACGACGTTTTGGCTGGCGACGGCCGGCGACGACAACAACACGGAATCAAACGGAACAGCGTCTCACACACGCCGACAGGGTCGGCGGATGTCGCGACGTGGGTATCCAAGGGTCTCGGCCGTTTCTCCAGGGCCAGTTTTTATACGACGTTTGTTGGTTGGTGCTGGAGCAGAGGCCGCAAACGACGAAATATTGGACGTCGCGAGTTGCCTTCAGCAGCTTGTCTGCCAGGGTGCAACGTGTAGCTTCGAAGGCCGAGTGTGAGCCCGGATCCCGAACCGAATGGAGACCGTTCCTTTATCACCTCCGGACATAATTCGTGTTACCCCCCCCGACCCCCCCCCCACGTAACGGTGATGCGGGGAAACCGCATACAGGCGTGAACGCGTGCAGTTTCCCATAGAGGAGGTGGAGTAGGAGGAGCAGCAGCAGCAGGAGGTGGAGGAGGAGAATGCTGATGAGGAGGAGGAGGATGAGGAGGGAGGAGGAGCAGTGTAGGAGGTGAGGAGGGGGAGGAGGGGGAGGATGACAAGCTAGGTGCGCTCGCGTCATATCTGACATCCTACCCCTCCCCCCCATCCCCTACCATGGCGTAGATCCCCTCTCTACTCGCACAGTCGGATGTTGAGCAGGGCAATGATCCCAAAAGGGTACGCGATGCATTGTGGAACACGGCATGGCATGGCGTAGAAGAGCACCGCAAAGCGTAGTATGTCACAGCATGGCGTGGCGTGGCGTAGTGAAGAATTGCAGCGCAAAGCATATGGCATCGAACAGCGGTCCCGAACATAGCGTTGCATAGCATGGCGTTGAAGATCAAAGCGTAGCATGGCATAACATGACGTGGCATTTACGCATTGGATACGACAGCTGCAGCTGAAGGCATGGCATCGCGCAGCGGAACGCAACCTAGCATTGCATCGCATGCCGTGGCATGGCACGGAAAATGACGCCAGCGCTGCAGCGGGAGCACGATTCGGAACGAGCGGAAGCGCGGAAATGAATCCATTGCTGCAGCGGGAGCAGGATTCGGAACGAGCGGAAGCACGGAAATGAGGCCAACGCTGCAGCGGGAGCACGATTCGGAACGAGCGGAAGCCCGAAAATGAAGCCCGCGCATCAGCGAGAGCATCATTTTGCAAAAACGGAAAAAAACACGCGGAAACCCAATTCCGGGAAATCTTGTGTAAAAAACAATACGCGGAGGGGTGCCTGCTATCTCCCGCACGCCATCAGGGGATGGAGGAGAGTGTATTCATCTTGTGTGACTGTGGAGGAGGAGGAG